GAATGCGGCAGAGGGAAGCGGAGCTCGGTGAGGGGCAGCCCATAGCGCCCCGTCCTTTTCCTTCCGTCGAGTCCCCAGGTCCGCTCTGCCGGGCTCCCGCTGCCGCCTGAAGCCCCGCACGGCCCCGTCCCCAGGCACCCCGCGGTGCGTGCCCCCCTCGCCTCCTCCAGGCCAGGCGTTTTCCAAATGTTCTCCTCAATGCCCCACTGCTTGCGACCTGCAGGGGTTAACCCTGTCCCAGGGTCGGCAGCTTCCCCCTGCCCAGGGGGGAAGAGCCTCGCCGCCCCATCCCGGGGCTCCTGCATTAAACTCTATTGCCTGTTGCTGCCTCTTCATGGTAGCCGGGCAAAAGCGGGGGCTTGTCATCACTGTGCTGTGGACAGACCCTCTGTCTAGTCCCAGAGGCATCCAGGCTTCTTCCTCCTGAACAGGGCAAGCAGAGCATCACATCCCAATCCTCAGTTCTCTGAGCCTTTTTCTCTTCTTCTCCTCAGGGCCAAGCCAGGTTGGAGGAATAAAATCACCCCAAGTAGCTGAAGGGTGTCATCACCTGCTGGGACAGATGCTGGATTTATCATTGGATGGAAGGTCTTTGGATTGAAACAGGAGCCTGTTGGAGATAAGGAAAATACTACAGAAAAGTCTCTTTTCTGGGGAGGAACAAGCAAACTGTTCCCAAATGCTCGAGCCCTTTCCACCCCTGCCCATCAGCAGAAAGTACAGGTACGTGCTCAGACTTCAAGAGCTCTGGTTTCAGTCCCACCTTGAGAGGAGAGTCTGCTTTTCCCTTTCCCCTTATGGGCACAGGTCTGTTGTTCATCTGCCTTCTGCTGAGAAGAATAAGAAGGAGCATGGTCCCTTTGGGGGTGCCTCATCCAGCTGCAAAGGTCAAGGAGGAAGCAACAGAAGGCTTTTCTCTCAGAAATTCCCATTTTCAGTTGCTTCTTGGAGTCTGGTCAGAGGGAAGTGGGGACTGACCATCCCTGCTGTGCTGGGAGCCCCAGGCAGAGGGAGTGGGGACTGGAGGCAGGAGGAGGGAGTTGTTCTGGATATACTCCAGGTCAGAGGTGAGAGGGGCCTTGGGCCCACTTGGAAACTGCCTCAGGGCAGGGAAGCAGCTTTTCCCCACGAAGGAGACTCCTGCACTCTGAGACCTCTGTTTACAGTCTCATAGGGATTGTTTCTCCTCTGGAGTGAAGCCTCCTCCCGTAGCCCCTTGTTCAAAGGCCTCAAAACCAGTCGTTCCCCAGGAGCCCTTTCTCTATGTAGTACAAGCAAGTCAGGACCAGCCCTTTCCTCCTCCTTTCCCTTCCACTGACATTTTTATCCCAGCCTTGTCCCATCCCTGCTATCCACCATGACTGGAGACTGTGACTGTGTCCTGGTCCTGTTTGTAAGCTGCTCTTGTCTGTGCTGCAAAGTTGCAGCTTACGGGTTTGTGTTGCTGGGGTAAAATTCACAGCTCAACTGTGCTGCTCTCACTTGCTTTGGGAGTGCTGCGTGCTGGCCCTTGGGAGCAAATTGCAGCCTGCAAGTCTGTGTGGGTTTTACTCTTCGTTGTACACTGAGAGCTTTTAATTCGGGCTGCAGGGAAGCCTCACTTCCCATATGCCCAAGTTTCCTTCTGCAGCAAAACAGTGAAGTGCCAAGTGCTGGCCAGCCCACCAAGGACTCCCCCGTGTCAGGCTGCGGAGTGTGTCCTCCAGATCGGTTCTCTGTGCTGAGGAAGGACAAACCCAGCTTTCCACATCAACGCGCTCCGGCCGCAGCTCCAGCGTGAGAGCGGAAGGTGCGCGGGAGCGGTGCCGCAGCCGCGGTGCGGTGGGGCTGATCCAGAGACCAGACCCGGGCGGTGTGGAGAAAGTCAGTGCTAAAGGCAACTGGGAATTTTTTAAAATAAAAGCCCCAGCACGCCAGAGTTGGCCTCTGCTGGGTGGAAGAAACACAGAATCTCCTTGCCTGCTGCCAGCTCTTTTTTTTTTTTTTCTTTTTCTTTTTTTCCCCTCTTCC